CGGCACTTGCTTTCGGCAAGTGCCTTGGACAGGAACGAAATGGCATGCCCTGCCAAGGCGCGGGGCGGGTGTGCCCAGACCTTGTTTCCTGACACGTGCGCCTCAAACGCGGTGTTCTCGGGGCGAAACCAGAGCGGCGCTTTCGCGGTGACCCCCAGCCGGTCCGCGAAAAGATCGCAATCAAATGGGCCGAATTCGTTGGTGATGCGGTCCATCACCGACGCTTTCAGCGCAGCCTCGCGGAAAGGGTCTGCATTCCATCGAGACGCAAATGCCGAGTCTCGGGAGCCGGAATCCGAGATGACATTCGCTGCGCCCGCCAAGTGCACGGCCAAACACCAGCACCCGGCCGAGCGTTCTGCATGCTCGAATTCCTCGGCCAACTGCACGAGGTGCGGTATGCGACAATTCGAAACACGACGCGCCATCCGCGCAACCATTCGGGTTCTGCCTGAACGGCCTGGACCGCGACCCACAACTCTTTAACATTTATCGCGTCTGCGTTGTCTGCGAGATCTGCGAAACCTGCCGGCCAAACGCCGGACCTGACCACGCCAGCGCTGCACAAATTATATGACCATCCGTGCAGCTTGCTGGCGTCAGTTTCTATGACGCGCAGGCAGCCGGCAGCCGCCAAGCGACGCCAATCTTGGAACTCGGGAGATTTCGGCCCCCAAAGCGAAAGCTGCCCAGCTTCACCGTGCAGCGGTCGCTCCGGGGTGCGGTCCAGAGCGCGGTGCCACCACCTCAAAGCTTCGCGCGCGTCGGGGCTCAAGTGGACAACGGGGTTCGCCGCTGGGCGGCGAGCCCACAGCGCGTACACGTTTGCTGCGTTCAGCGACGCCCAGACATGATACAGTCGCCGCCTGCCTTGCAGGAACACCTCCGCAATATGGTTGGCCAGACCGGCGGTGGCTGCGAGGTCTCGCGCCAGCAAGGTTCCGTCTGAATCTGCCTGCAGGGCGGCGAGAATGAGGGCTTGGCACTTGTCGCACTTTGTACGCTCAACAGACAGCGTGTTGTTCAGAGTGTCGAACACCCATCCTACCCACGTCTGGACTTGAGAGGGCGGCCGGATGCCGCCTTCTTTTGCAGAGATCGGGACGCCAATCTTCAGGAAGAACCGGACGACGCGCTCCAGCTCCAGCCACGCGTCCTCCTCGGAAGATTGTGCGCCCAGATTGTCGTCTACGAAATCTGTAAGCACGGCGTTCTCGTGCAGCTGCAACAGCCGTAATAACTCCTTCAAACTAGAATCGTTGATGGAAGGTGCTGTTTTTAGGCCGAACGGCAGGAATGTGTACATGCCGTACTGCTGTCGCCCCGGGGACCAGAAACCCAGCCACCACGCATCGGAAGGCAAGACGCGCCAGTTGCAGAACGCATCCGCCAAATCCACAACGTACAAACAACTCCGCGGGGACATGCGCGATATCGCCAGATCAACCGTCCCGTAGTTCACTGGGAGGTCGGGCAAGGAGGTGTTCAAGCTGCTCCGGGAAAGGTCCATGATAATACGAACTTTGACCCTCTCCTCTTCTGGCGCGTTGTCTCTGGCGCCCGCCCGCGGCTTGACGATAGCCGCGCACGGGTTGACATGCAATTGTGCGGGTCGACTAGTGCCTGGAAGAAAGGTAACTTTTCCCAACCGTTCCAGACGTGACCATTCCAAATCAGCGAGCCGAGCGTGATGCGACAGCGACGGGTGATTGGGAAAAACTTGTGATGTGAGCCCCCTGTCAACTTGAAGGCAGCAGCCGTTCTCCCAACGCTCCAGAAAAGCAGCCGAAGCACCGAGCTCCTTGAGCAGATCGACATTCAGCCGTAAGCCCGTGATGCCGCCTACCCAGATGGCCTGCGCGTCTGCCGCGCGCACCTCCCACAAGAGCCGCTGCAAGCGGTCGGTGCCATGGTGAAGAGACATGCCGGGAGGGCGGAACAACGGACACACGGGCTGCGCCGAGTTTGAGCCCTGTGTGTACGGACCCCCCCCGTGCAAGGTGTGACTGGCGAGCGCGCGCGGAGGCTGCGGCGACCGCCGGTGGACATTGGGGCCGCCCATAGCCACCTGGGAGGCCGCGGGCAGCCCGGAGAACTGGACCAGCGAAACACTAAGCGCCGCTGGCCAAGCCCCCCAGAAAACTGGACGACGTGCATCCGTATTTTTCGGCGCCCGACGGTGGAACAGTAAGCGCCACCAGCGGGGCCGCGCTACCAGGACAACAGCGCCTGTTGGCCACTGAGGGTTGTGCCTTGGCACGCGCCCAACGCGCCAAAAACTTGGGCGACCGAGCGTCCACCAGCGACGGCGCCCACTGGTGGGACAATAGGCACCACCAGCAGGGCCAAACAAAACCGCTCAAAAAACGTGACCGATTGCGAGCGTGATTTAGGACGCGGGGGAATCCAAAGGCAACGAAACTCGCCGGTGGGACAGTTAGCACCACCAGCCGGCCTGACCAGCGAAACAATAAGCGTTGCTGACTTCATGAGCCGTGCTCGCGCGCATGCACTGCACCGCGCGCAATGTCGAACTGCACGTGGCGTGTATAGAAGGCGGGGCCAGCGCGGGAAGGACAATGAGCACCGCCCGGAGCCCCTGGCCAGCGGAACAGTAGGCGCCGCTAGCCACTCGGACGAAAGCCAGGCCGACGGAGCAATAGGCGCCGCCAGCTGACCTTGTCTTGAGCAGTGGCTGTTTGAGCCGGCGAGACGCGCGGGGAGGACAGTAAGCACCACCCGCGGCGCCCCTGGCCAGCAGAGCAGTAAGCACCGCTGGCCCCCTGGACGGAAGCCATGCCGACGGAACAGTAGGCGCCGCCAGCTGACCTTGTCTTGAGCAGTGGCGGTTAGAGCCGGCGAGAGGGAGGAGAGAGGGAGGGGGAGGGAGGGGGGGGGGGAGAACGGAGGGCTCCTCAACTCCTTTGGGACGGGGTCGAGAGCTCGCCATGGGAAGCCGCACGTTGAACGGTTCTCGCAGCGGCACTGGTGTTACGGCCAACCATCCCTCGAGCGATCCTGGGGCGCCAGCAGCCAGTTCTCGCGACACCACTTCTCTTGCGGGTTCTCGCATCGGTACGGCCAACCATCCCTCGAGCGAGCTAGGAGCGCCAGCAGACCGGTCCTCGCGACACCACTTCTCTTGCGACTCCCCATTCCCGCAGCGAAGTAAGTGGACAGTCTCGGTAGACCGTTCTCTCTCCTCTCGGCCACTAGTCGGTCACAAACACATATGAGTACATGTATAACTCCACCCTCCGACCCCTCCTCCTCCTCGGAAGGGGGGGAGAGGGCGGGGAAAGGGAGAGAGTGTTTTGGAGGGGCCGATTGCGCGTTCTGCGACGCGGCCTGCGCCCTGTGAGGCGTCCTGCCACGAGACGGCAGGAAAGTGCGAAGCAGGGCGCCATGTGAGACGCCCTGCGACGCAATGCGCACTGTGCGGCGCCCTGCCAACGGACGGCAGGCACTCGGCCCCGCGGGGACGTGACCCCCCGAGCCTTAGCCCAGCGGCACAGTAGGCGCCGACGAAGCCGGGTAAGGCCGCCTGCGGACCATTGCCAGCACAGTAGGCACTGGCAATGCTGATCGTGTCCCTGATGTCCGAAGCATCTGCGTCTCTAGATCGCCCATTATCCGAAAAGCTTCGCCTTCCTCCTAATAGGATCAATGATCAGGAGGATGATCAGGAGGAGGAGCAGGAGGAGGAGGAGGAGCAGGAGGATGAGGGCGGAGGACACAAGGGACGTGGAGGAGGTACACTAGTGGGAGGGAGGGTGGGAAAAGAGAGGATGCGGAGGTGGAGGAGGCGAAGGAGGAGGAGGAAGAGGAGGAGGAGGAGGAGGAGGAGGAGGAGGACGAGGAGAATGAGGAGGTGGAGGAGGAGGATGAGGAAGATGCGGAGGAGGAGGAATATGATGATGATGATGATGATGATGATGATGATGATGATGATGATGATGATGATGATGATGATGACGATGCTGATTATGATGATAATGACGATGAGGGGGAGCAGAAAGATTACGAATATGATGATGCAGAGGAATAATAACTTAATTTTATTTGTTTGAGAGAAGAAGAATAATAGTAATGCTACTACTGCCATTACGAATGAGACGACTAATACTAGTATTAGCAACCATACTCTTACGAATCATATCAAGCATGATAATCACACCAAGAATAGGGCTAGTACCAATACTCATCATACGGGTAATACTAGTTATTCTAGTAATGCAATGTATTATAATCGCGAGACGAACGATACTACCACTACTATCACTACTAGTAATACTGTCAGCGCCAATAACAATATTAATCTTATGTTTACTATTAGCGATACTAACACTATTACTGATTCGACGACTCACAATGCAGATGATAATTTTGATGATATTACTGTGACGAATATTAATAAGCGTGCAGATGATGATACGAATACGTGTAATAATTCTACTAGTTATAGTATCAATAATAGTACGCATACGAATGATAATGGTAAACATCGTGCCAACACCACTTATACATATAGACGAACATTACGAATATTATTCATAATTGTAGGAAACAGGTGAAACTGCTTATCAACATCATGATACTACGGACACGCCTAATACGAACGCCACACATAGTAATATGTTTAGTAGTATTAGTAAACATAACAGTAGTAATGCTGCCAATGCTAATACTAATCACCACACCAACCATAATCAGAAGAGGTGGAGGAGGAGGAGGAGGAGGAGGAGGAGGAGGAGGAGTAGGGGAGGGATGACATGACGATGATGAGGATGAAGAGGCTGGGGGAGAAGAGGAGGAGGAGGAGGAGGAAGGAGGAGGAGGAGGAGGAGGAGGAGGAGGAGGAGGAGGAGGAGGAGGAGGAGGGACTGCAAAAGAAGCAAGGGGCGGTGCATCAGGGGGAGGAGGAGGAGTGGGTGGATGGGGGGAACGGGATGTGGTTCTACTCATCCGTCTTTCCGTTCTTTTGAGCATCGTGTTGCGAGGCTTATGGGGATGATCAACGAGTCGAACATCCAGAAGCCTCGCTACGAGGCTCTCCCGGTGCTGCCGTGCAGGCCCTTGTTTGGCCATTGTTGCCCAAACAGCGAGTGCGTTAGCGGTTCTGCGCCACCGTGCCCCTCTTGCCGTGCCACCCTTCCGGGCCGTGCCTTCTCGTGCCGTGCCTTCCCTGTGTGCTGGAACGCGCCTGAGCGCGCCGCCCGCGTGGCATTGCCCGCGCGGTGCTCGTGTGCCACGCCGTCGTGCCGTGCTGCGCGCGTGCCCTGCCCGTGTCCTGGGCCGCGCCCGCCGCGCCGCCCGCGTGCCGTGCCAGCGCCGCGCAGGGGCGCCGTGCCCGTGCCGTGCGCTTGCCGTGCGCGCGCGTTTGGAAACGCGCCGCCCGCGTGCCGTGCCCGCGCGCCGCGCCCGCGCCGTGCCCGCGCGCCGCGCTGACGTGCCGTGCCGCGCGCGTGCCTCGTGTGCTCTGGGACGCGCCGCCCGCGCGCCGCCCGCGCGGCGGGCCCGCGCAGTGCCCTCTGCGCCGCGCAGCCGTGCCGTGCCCGCGCGGCCGTGCCGCCCCGGCGGTCTGGGGCGCGCCCCCCGCGCCGCCCGCGTGGCGGGCTTTCGGACTTCTTGAGTTTGAGCATCCGGGGCCGTTTCCCAAGGGCGCCCTCGAGGGCGCGAAGTTATTGGCGCTTCGCGCTTCGCGGTTCGGCTCCGGTTCCTCCTCCTCCTCTTCTCCCCCGGGAGGCGGCGCGAGAGCGCGAAGTTATTCGCACTTCGCGCTTCGCGCAGCGCGAAGCGCGAAGTTGGGTGCCCTTGTTTTCGAGCCCCGAGGCCCTCGAACACTCATCCGGGGTGAGCAAGTGCACCGAGTGGGCCCCGGGAGGGGTCATAGGATCGATTTTAGTGGTTCTTAGTGCGGCAGGGTGGAGGAAGAGGCGGAGGAGGTGGATGCCTGTGCCAAGCGCATGTCTCTGGTGGATGGCGGCATCTATTCTCTCCTTGTCTCCTTCAGTTCGCATTGGGTCCGCGTGCGGTTCGGCAGAGCCGTTCGCGTGAGCCGTCGAAGCAGGTGGCTCGATACCTTGCAATATTCGATTATGTGCGCTTCGATCAGACAATTTGAAGGGTCAGTCATCACAAACGTTGTGAACGCCCATTGCCATGATATCTGCTTCTGTCACCCATAAGAGGAAATCGTTTACGCTTCGCGAATCCTTGCCAGCCCATTCAGAAGCCCTGCCCATGAGAGCTGACGGGAAAAGGGACGAAGAGACACATATAGTGAAACAGAGCGTGCAGGGAGAGGAGGGGAAGGAGGTTGTCGAGTCATCTTCGAGGCTATCTTGGAGCATCGGAGGCCTTCTTGGAGCTACGGGGCTGTATTGGGGGATATTGGAGTCCTCTTGGAGCTCTTTTGGGGCATCTTGGGTGCCTCTTGGGGCTCTTTGGGGGGTCTTGAGATCCTCTTGGAGCTCTTTTGGGCCGCCTTGGGGCCCTCATGCGGCCCTCTCGGGGCTCTCTTGGGGCTCTCTTTGGGCCCTCTTGGGAGCTATGGAGCGCCTCCTGGGGCTATCTTGTAGACCATCGATCAACGGAGGGGGTCCTAGGTTTGAAAGAGCGCGCCCGTCGCGACCAGAATAAGAAAAGGGGGGTCCCAGCTTCAAGCTACCCCCCCCCTTCCTTCCAAAAGGGGGGGCTTCCGAAGCTACCCCCCCCCTCCCTTTCGTAAGGCTTTCTAAGCTGGGGGGGCTCTGGCTCAATGGGGGGGGGCTTCGAAGCTCCCCCCCCCCTCCCCCCTTTTTTGGAGCAGAAGGTGAGCCTGGGCTTACCTTTCAAAGGGGGGGGGCTTCGCAAGCTACCCCGCCCCCCTCCTTCTTTTTTTGGTTTGGACACAGGGGGGGGCGGCTTCAAGCTACCTCCCCCTCTGTGCAAAGGGGGTGTGGGGGGGCTTCCGAAGCTACCTCCTCCCCCCCCTCCCTTCCGGGGCTTTGGCAAAATGGCGGAATCCCTGGTGCGCACCGCAGCGCTAGAGAACGAATTGGATAATAACATCGACCCCTGGTTCGTTTTCTTGTTTTTTTGTTTTCTCGGCCCATGGTTCGTAGTCTCGTTTTCTCGGGCCCTGCTTCGTTGTCTTGTGTTCTCGTTTTCTTGTTTTTGTTGTTTTCTCGTGTTTTCGGCTCCTGGGTCGCGGTCTCGTTTTCTATGATCCTGGTTCGCGTTCTCGTTTTCTCGTTTTCTCGGCGCCTGGGTCGTGGTCCAGTTTTCTCCGACCCTGCTTCGTTTTCTCGTTTTCTCGGCCCCTGGGCCGTTTTTTTTGTTTTCTCGGACGCTGGTTAGTATTCTCGTTTTCTCGTTGTCTCGGCCCCCGTGTGGTGGTCGTGTATTCTCTGACCCTGCTTCTCGTTTCTTCATTTTCTCGGCTCCTGGGTCGTGGTCTCGCTTTCTCGAACCAAGCGTTTTCTGGTGATCTCGGCCGCTGGGTCGAGGTTCCCTCGGACCCCGTTTCGTTTTATCTTTGTCTCGTCTTCTCGGCCCCTGGGTCGTGGGTCGTGTTCTTGTTTTCTCGTTTCCTCGGCTCCTGGGTCGTGGTCTCGTTTTCTCGGGGCCTGGCTCGTTTTCTATTTTTTTTGTTTTCTAGGCCCCTGGGTCGTGGTTTCGTTTTCTCTGTTCCGGCTCGTGTTTTCGTTTTCTTGTTTTCTCGGCCCCTGGGTCGTAGTTTCGTTTTCTCGGGCCCTGATTCCTTTTATCGTTCTCTTGTTTTCTTGGTCCCTGGGTCGTGGTCGTGTTTTCTCGGGGCCTGGTTCGCTTTCGCGTTTTCTGTGCTCTTGGGTCGTGGTCTCGTTTGCTCGGACTCTGGTTTGGTTTTTCATTTTCTCGTGTTCTCGGCCCCTGGCCGTGGTTATATTTTTTTGGACCCTGGTTCGCTTTCGCGTTTTCTGTGCTCTTGGGTCGTGGTCTCGTTTGCTCGGACTTTGGTTTCTCGTTTTCTCGTGTTCTCGGCCCCTGGATCGTGGTCTCGTTTTCTCGGACCCTGGTTCGTTGTTTTGTTTTCTCGCTTTCTCGGCTTTTTCCCCAATCAAACTTGCCTCTGTAGGGGTCCTAGCGGATTTAAAGGGTAGGTGAGGTGTGCCGCCGATTCGGTGGCCGGGCCTGGGTGCCCGGGTGCCCGGGTTCGCCGCCGATTCGGTGGCCGGGCCCGGGTGCCCGGGTGCCCGGGTGCCCGGGTGCCTGGGTGCCCGGGTGCCCGGGTTCGCCGCCGATTCGGTGGCCGGGCCCGGGTGCCTGGATGCCCGGGTGCCCGGGTGCCCGGGTGATGGGTGCCCGGTGCCCGGGTGGGTGCCCGGGTGCCGGGTGCCCGGTGCCCGGGTGCCCAGTGCCTTGTAGCCCTATAGCCTATCGCCCTATCGCCCTATAGCCCTATAGGCCTATAACCCATATAACCATATAGCCATATAGCCCATACAGCGCCCAAGAGCCCATGTAGCCCTGTAGCCCTATAGCCCTACAGCCCTAAAAAGATGTTTTTTTTTTTTTTGTTCTCTGGTATCATGTTTGTTGTGTGTTGTTTTTTTCGGGCCTGGTTCGTGATCTCGTGTTCTTGTTTTCTCGGCCCCTGGGTCGTGGTGTCAATTTTCCTCGGACCCTTGTTAATTTCCTCGTTTTCTCGTGTTCTCGGCCCCTGGGTCGTGGTTTCGTTTTATCGGACCCTGGTTCGTTTTTTGTTTTCTCGGCCCCTGGGTCGTGGTCTCCTTTTCTCTGACCCTGGTTCGGTTTCTCGTGTTCTCCGTATCCCGGCCCCTGGATTGTGGTTTTGTTTTGTTTGACCCTGGTTTGTTTTCTCGTTTTCTCGTTTTCTCGGCCCCTGGGTTGTGGTCTCGTTTTCTCGGGCCCCGGTTCGTTTTTTCGTTTTCTCTTTGTCTCGGCCCCTGGGTTGTTGTCTCGTTTTCTCGGCCCTTGGTCCGTTGTCTTGTTTTCTTGTTTTGTCGGTCCCTGGGTCGTGGTCTCGTTTTCTCTGACCCTGATTCGTTGTCTTGTTTTCTTGTCGTATCGTTCCCTGGGTCGTGGTCTTTTTTCTCGGACCCTGCTTCGTTTTCTCGTTTTCTTGTTTTCTCGGCCCCTGGCTCGGACCCTGGTTTGTTTTATCGTTTTCGCATTTTGTCTGCCCCTTGGTCATGGTCTCGTTTTCTCGGACCCCATTTCGTTTTCTCGTTTTCTTGTTTTCTCGGCTCCTGGGTCGTGGTCTTCTTTTTTTTTGACCCTGGTTAGTTTTCTCGCTTTCTTGGTTTTCTCGGGCCATGGTTCGTTTTCTTGTTTCTTCGTTTTCTCTGCCCCTGGGTCGTGTTGTCATTTTTTTCTGACCCTGGTTCGTTTTCTCGTTTTCTCTGCCCCTGGGTCGTGGTCTCGTTTTCTCGGACCCCGTTTCGTTTTCTCGTTTTCTCGTTTTCTCGGCCCCTGGGTCGTGGCCTTCTTTTTTTGACCCTGGTTCGTTTTCTCGCTTTCTTGGTTTTCTCGGGCCATGGTTCGTTTTCTTGTTTTCTCGTTTTCTGTGCCCCTGGGTCGTGTTCTCGTTTTTTCTGACCCTGGTTCGTTTTCTCGTTTTCTCTGCCCCTGGGTCGTGGTCTCGTTTTCTCTTGCCCTGGTTCGTGTTCTCGTTTATTGTTTTCTCGGCATCTGGGTCGTGGTCCAGTTTTCTCGGACCCTGGTTCGTTCGTTTTCTCGTTGTCTCGTTTTCTCGGCCCCTGGGTCGTGGTTTCCTTTTCTCGGGCACTGGTTTGTTTTCTCGTTGTCTCGTTTTGTCGGCCCCTGGGTCGTGGTTTCGTTTTATCGGACACTGGTTCGTTTTCGCTTTTTCTCGGCCCCTGGGTCGTGGTCGCGTTTTCTCGGACCCTGGTCCGTTTTTTTGGACCCTTGTTCGTTTCTTCGTTTCCTCAGCCCCTGGGTCGTGGTCTCGTTTTCTCTGACCCTGGGTCGTCGTCGTCGTCGGTCGCGCGTCGTCCGTCGTCCGTCGTCCGTCGTCCGTCGCCGTCTTCGTATGATCTCGTCCTCGTCGTGACGACCACGACGAGGTCATGCGAAGACGGCGACAATGACGGCGACGGCGGCGACAACGACGACGAGGACGACGACGGCGTCGTACGAAGACGTCGGAAACGACGGCGACGGCAACGACGACGGCGACGGGGAAGGATCGTCCGGCAGGGGGAGTTCAAGGGAGGGGGTGGTAGCTTCCAGCAGGGGGGGTTCAAAGGGGGGGGTAGGTAGCTAAGCCCTCCCCCTTTGGAAAGTGGGGGAGGGGGGGGAGCTTCTGGAGCGGCGGCAAAGGGGGGGAAGGGGGGGTAGCTTCCGGGGGGGGACAAAAAAGGGGGGGAGGGGGGGGCTTCCGACAGAGGGGGGCCAAATGGGGGGGTGGAGCTAAGTCCCCTCCCCCTTTGGAAAGAAGGGGGGGAGGGGGGGGGGTAGCTTCCAACCGCCGAAAGGGGGGAGGGGGGGTAGCTTCCAGGGGCGGGCGAAACAGGGAGGGGGCGGGGCCGTGGCTTCCAGCAGGGGGGGGTCAAGGGAGGGGGGGGGGGCAGATAAAGGGGGACCCCCCCCCCCTTTGCTCCATCACTGTGGGCGCGCTCTCTCCTAGATTTCCCCCCCCCCCTCTGGGGCCGTCGAAATAGCCTCTGGCGCTCCAGGGGCAGTCTTAGGGGCCTCTTGGGCCCTTCTTGGAGCTCTCTTGGACCATCGGAGGGCCATCTTCAGGCCTCAAAAGCGCATCAGAAGCGAAAATGCGAGACGGCAAACATCAGTACTTTTCCTCAGGTTTTTAATGTATTTTGGCTTCTCGGGGAGGTTCTGAGAGGTCGCCAAAAGCACCTGGAACCGTCTTGTGGCACTCTTGAGGCCTCTTGAAGGCATGGTGGAGGTCATCTTGATCAATCTTGCGCTATCTTGAAGCATCTTAGAGGCCATCTTGGAGCATTGAATGCCCTCTTGGAGCCGTCTTGGGCGAAACATAATCCTCTAACGACCCGCGACCCCCTCCCACAAACCCCTGGGAGGGGAGGGGGAGGGTACTCCTCCCCGAAGGGAAGACGGGTTTCTGTCGGAAGAGGAAAGAAAGACATCGTTAGACCACCTACGCCCAGAAGGCTGGTGGGATTTCGGGACGCGATCGTGAAGCCCAGCCGATGTGAGATTCGAACCTGGTGTGATCGTGAATTGTCCCGCTGACGGTCCTAGCATGAGCGCGAGTCTACGCAATGGCTAGGCATCCTGTGCGATGGGAAAGATGAGGCGTCGAGGCTGTTCAGACTTTGAGGTGCCGCACCTCTCTGATTGTGGTGTACCCTTCCTTCCCGACGCCCAGGTTAGAGATACCGAGAACGGGAAGTGCGTCCGTGCGGTTGGCCGCTGGGCAGCATGCAGATACATTGTATTTCTCTCTCTCTCTCTCTTGTTAGTGTGATAGAGTGAGTCTTAGAAGTAGTAGCGCACAATGTTCTTGATCAACCTCCTGAATCCTGGATACATTTTTTCCCTTGCGTTTTTTTCACCGGATCCTGAGTATGGGTCTTGTGTGATGAGTGTCACGTCTCCGCCCCCTTACCTTCTCACCTCCTCATTCTCGCCTCCGTCCCTCACTCATTTATTATGACTCTCCCACAGTCAGAACGTTGACCCACTCAGACTCAGACCTACTCATACTCAGACTTTCTCAGACTCACTGCTGCTGACACGCAGTGATACTGAGCCTCACTGGTACTCCAACGCAAACCCAAGCGCGCTCACTGTGGCACGTCTAGTTGGTATGGGGTTCATGTTCCCCATCGTCTGGGTACTTTTATTCGTGTAAGGCCTCCACCTTCTCACTTCTCTCCTACTTCCCTCCGTCATTCATAGTTAAACCTGCACATGCGTACTCACTCACATGCAAGCCCACCCATTACCAAGCCTCACCATACCCAACCTCGCTCATATTCAGAGCGACCCACTCACAGGAGTATTCATACGCAACCATATTCAGACATGCTCAAATTCACCAGCCCAGGCCGATGCAAAATCATACCCATCGGTACTCCTACCCACTCGCACTCAAACTCACTCATGCTCGGCCTCATGGTTATACTCACTCACACTGATGCCACTCACACTCACGCGCAGGCCCAGCAGACGAGTCCCACCAGCCCTCTGGGCGCAGGTTGTTTAACGCGTCTCCGCTTCCATCCTCCTCCTCCCTTCCCTTGCGATGTTTGTCGCAAGCAGTCAGTGCGTGCAAGATAAACCCAGAATCATCGATTAGTCTAAGGTTTTGGGCCCGTTATGGCCTCCCGAGGGGCGGTGCTATTTGACGCCGTCACCTTCTTTGATCGGTCGCCTCCACGATGGCCCCAGTACGGCCCGAAAAGCCCCCAAGAGAGTCCCAGGAGGGCCTCCCGACAGACGCCTAAGAGGCCGCCAGAGGCGCCAAAGAGGCCCCTGAGAGGCCTCCGAGCGGCCTCCCAGAGGCACCCACGACGTTTCAAGAGGCCACCCAGGAGCCGACAAGGCCCCCCCCCAAAATTCCCGCAAGATGCCCCAAGAATCCTCCACGAGGCCCTCAGGCGACATCCCGAGCGTCTCCGAGCGGCAGCCCCAGAGGCCTCCCGAGGTCTTCCAAATGCCGCCGCGCTCCCCCGATCAAGGCGGCTGCACTGGGCTCCGCCTGTCTGGCTGGGCTGGCGGGGCTATGCGAAGCTTTGAGGATGTCTGCTCAGAGCTCCATGGTCGCCGCGGTGTCGAGGGCATCACGCTTCGGACCTACAATGGGGAGCCACACGGGAGTATCCAGTGGAAACCCATGCCAAGAAACACCCTGCTTGCCTCCAGGGTGCCCCGGGTTTCTTGGACTTCGATGGTTTTGCGACGCCCTCCAATACCAAAAATCGAAGGACGTCCTGGGGTCTCAGTCTCGGGTTTCTTCTGAAAGGTTTCTTGTGGTCGGGCCCCAACTGAATCACGGGCCCGATCGCGTCCAGAATGGAGGGGCCTCTCGAGCACAAGTGCAATTTCTGAAGGTCACGTACGGATGTGCCAGAGTCCATGACCACTGCGATGCACGCGATTCGGGGGTGCTAAAATTATCCCGGCAAAGCAACCTAACAGCGATGTCTAGAAACATATCTGGAAGCATTTCCCTTAAGATTAGATCAGAATCCAGTTGTAGAATTCTGCTGTTCTCGCAGTCGCAGTCGCATTCGCGATGACAGTCGCAGCGGCAACGGCAGTCACAGTCACAGCCTCAGCACTCGGCCTGCCTCAGCCATCAGCTGCCTCTGCTTCAGCCTCAGCCTGCCTGCCTCTCCTCAGCCAGGCCCAGCCTCAGCCTTCAGCCTCGGCCTCAGCCTCAGCCTGCCTCAGCCTCAGCCTGCATCAGCCTCAGCCTCAGCCTCAGCCTGCCTCAGCCTCAGCCTGCTGCGCCCTCGCATACTCCTGCGGCCTCAGCCTGCCTCGGCCCCAGCCTGCATCAGCCTCAGCCTCAGCCTCAGCCTGCCTCAGCCTCAGCCTGCTGCGCTCCCGCATACTCCTGCGGCCTCAGCCTGCCTGCGCTCCCCCCAGATCCTGCCTCAGCGCGGCCTCAGCCTGCCTCGGCCCAGCTGATCAGATCAGCCTCAGCCTCAGCCTGCTCCGCCTCAGCCTGCTGCGCTCCGCATACTCCCGCGGCCTCAGCCTCAGCCTCAGCCTCAGCCTCAGCCTGTATCAGCCTCAGCCTCAGCCTCAGCCTGCCTCAGCCTCAGCCTGCTGCGCTCCCGCATACTCCTGCGGCCTCAGCCTGCCTCGGCCCCAGCCTGCATCAGCCTCAGCCTCAGCCTCAGCCTGCCTCAGCCTCAGCCTGCTGCGCTCTCGCATACTCCCTGCGGCCTCAGCCTGCCTCAGCCTCAGCCTGCATCAGCCTCAGCCTCAGCCTCAGCCTTCAGCCTCAGCCTCAGCCTGCCTCAGCCTCAGCCTCAGTCTGCCTTCAGCCTCGGCCTCAGCCTCAGCCTGCCTCAGCCTGCCTCAGCCTCAGCCTCTGCCTCTGGCCTGCCTGAGCATCAGCCGGCTTCAGCGTCTGCCTCAGCCTGCCTCAGCGTCAGCCTCTGCCTCAGCGCCTCAGCTACCCGGGCATCCAAAATGTGGCCCGGGAGTGGAGTTCTGGGAACTCGAAGACCACGAATTGTAGCTACAGTTGGCTCCGGGCACCCAAAATGTGGCCCGGGAATGGAGTTCTGGAAACTCGAAGACCACGAAGTGGCCTACAGTTGGCTCCGGGCATCCAAAATGTGGCCCGGGAATGGAGTTCTGGGAACTCGAAGAGCACGAAGTGGCCTCAGTTGGCTCCGGGCATCCAAAATGTACGCCGGGAATGGAGTTCTGGGAACTCGAAGACCACGAAGTGGCCTACAGTTGGCTCCGGGCATCCAAAATGTACGCCGGGAATGGAGTTCTAGCAGCGCCAAGAGCGATTTTGCGAGGATGTCCCAGGCGATTTGGGCTTCGACGGCAGCCGCCCCGGGTCCCGCCCGGACCCCCCTGTGGAGTCATCTGCTGCTCTCTTTTGACACCACTAGAAACCTATCAGTCTTCGCTGTTAGGTAAAAGGTGTCCTTCGGCTCCCCCCCTCGCGCGGATAATAACAGTTTACAGTAAGAAGCAGACAGCAATACTGTAACATTGGAAATTGGAAACTGGAATTGGTGCAGGGAGCAGTAAGCCTAGGCCTCGCAGCCTGATGACCCCGCAAGGGAGCCGACTGATATATACATATATGTAGTCTAGTTATATATATACTTGTCTGCTCCTCTTTCTACTTGTGGCAGTGGTAATGCCGCTTCGTCAGTTTTCAGTATTCGATATGCGCGTGGTCCATCTTGTAAGACTCTGGCGGTCGATGCGACACGCCGTTCTTGCGTGGATTCGTGTATTGCCACAGGCCATCGTCATCACAATCAAGTGTTTTCATTTTCGCATCAGCTGATGACTGATACAATGATGGGAAGGTTGCCAAGCACACCATCCAGGGGATGGCCACGTCTGCGAACAAGGGGGGCGATAGACCAGACAGAAGAAGGAGCCTGTGTGTGAGTTTGATCCCTCTGCTGCTGCAATGGTTGGACAAGAGATCTTCCAAGCCCCAAAAAACCAGTCTCCACCCATCTTGTGCGCGCCCATTGGCAATGCATGTCGCTGCTGTTTCCTGGTAGTTGGGGATAGGAGGAGTAGTATGTCTCGGGCGTGGAGGAGGAAAGGGAAGTTCAAGAGGATACAGCCGAGGGGATTCATGACTATGAGGATGAAGGTATGGATGATGATGAGGAGGATGAGGATGAGGAAGAGGAGGATGATGCCGATAACCATGATGATGACGATGATGCCGATGCTGATGATTATGCTACTGATGATGATGCTGATGCTGATTATGATGATTCTGATAATGATGATGGTGATGCTGCTGGCTTTGACTTGCTGTCTTTTGGCGGTTCCTGGAGCTCTTCGGCAACTGCTGCTGAGATATGGATACGGCGGTGATGAGGCTGATCATGCCGATGATGATGATGGTGATGCCGATGGTGATGGTGACGATGACGACGATGCTGACCATGATGGTTCTCATGACGATGGTGAGGACGACGACGATGATGATGACGATGATGGTGGTCATGACGATGGTGACGACGACGATGCTGTTGATGATGATGGGGCCGATGATGATTCTGCTGATGAGGATGCTAATGTTGATGACGAGGACGCTGATTCTGACGGTGACGCTGATCATGCTGCTGCTGATGATGACGACGATGATGCTGGCGATGCCGATGCTGATGACGATACTGATGATGATGCTGATGACGGTGATGCTGAGGACGGTGATGAGGGAGATGAGGGCAACGACGATCACGATGGCGACGCTGCTGCTGTTGAGTACACTGATGACGCCACTGATGAAGGCGACGACGATGATGCTGGCGATCATGACGATGATGACGACGACGACAATGATGCTGCTGATGCTGATGCTGATGACGATGATGATGGTGATTCTGATATTGTTGACGATGATCAGGTTGGTGATGATACCGACGACGATGATGATGCCGGTGCTGATGATGATGATGCTTCTGCTGTTACTGGTGATGGTGATGACGATGATGATGGTGAGGTTGATGCTAATAATGAACATGCTGACGATGATCATCATGCTGCTGATGGTTATGTTGATGATGCTGATGACGATGATGCTGCTGCTGATGATGATGATGACGACGGTAATGAAGGGGAGGAGGAGGATGGGGAGGAGTATGTCAACGAGGATAACGATTGTGATGTTGTTGTACGACGATGTCGCTGCTGCTGATGTTACTGCTGCTGCTGCTGCTGCTGATGACGATGATGATGATGATGATGATGATGATGATGATGATGATGACGATGATGATGATGATGATGATGATGATGATGATGATGATGCTGATGATGATGATGATGATGATGATGATGATGATGATGATGATGATGATGATGATGATGATGACGCTGAGGATTATGTTGCTGATGCTGATGCTGATGATGATGCGATGATGGTGCTGAGGAGGATGATGAGGAGGATGATGAGGAGGATGATGAGGAGGAGGAGCAGGCAGACCAGGGGACAGGGGGGGTGGGAATGAGGAAGAGGATGAAGAGGAGGAGGAGGAGGAGGAGGAGGAGGAGGAGGAGGAGGAGGAGGAGGAGGAGGAGGAGGAGAGGAGGAGGAGGTGAGGAGGAGGAGGAGGAGGAGGAGGAGAAGAAGGGACCAGTGTAAACCCAGGACTCATCAACGATGCTACCATAAGGCCTCCCTCCAAGATCTCTCTTCATTGGCTCCTACAAGACTTAATTTTCATGTGAGGAAGTTCCCCGTTTGAAATCAATCGTTTGACAATCCTGGACTGTGACAGAACACCATTCCTGGGACTTCAAAGCCCCAATCCATCGTTACTGTTGCGCCTTGGTGATCCTAAATCGTGCCAGATTTGGGACTCCAACACCACGACGCTATTCCTGGGACGTTAACCATGATACTCCTTGAAACAATTGTGAACTCTTAACACGCATGTGCGCGGCTCTAAGGCGAGAACCACATTTTGAAAAAGAGCAGCCTTCCATCCGTGAAGCTCTCACAATTTTCCATGACGATTGAGCGCGGCGCTAAGGCAAGAGCCACATTTAGAAAACGACCCGCCCTCCATGCGTGAATAAAATTGTGCGCAGCGCAAAGGCGAGAGCCACATTTTGAAAACGACATGTCCTCAAGTAGCGAAACTCGCAATTTTGAAGACGGATTTTGAAAACCACCCGCCGTCCATCCGTGAAACGGTTGCAAATTGTAAGCTTCAGGGTCATGAACGGTGAGAAAGTCTCAGGCGAAACGCCTGGCCCGCCCTTTCAACTGGCCTCGGGGTGCGATATGAGGAGTTATCCAAAAGGAAAACTAAGGGAGGAGGCAGAGGAAGAGGAGGAGGATGAGGAGGAGCTCTTATCCTTTCCTCCCTCCTTCCCTCCCCTCCCTCCCTCCCTCCCCTCCCTTCCCTCCCTCCCTCCTCCCGTCCCTTATCCCCACCTCCCTCCCTCCCCTCCCTCCCTCCCCCACCGCCTCTTCCGACTCCTCCTTCTGGTTTCCCCCTCCCCTCCTGTTACCGAGGCGCAGGAATTAGGAGGGAAGAGAGGGTGGGGGCCAGACTGGCGTGAGTCGCGCGGCTCCCGCATTTTTTTCTCAGTCGATCGATCTTGCCTGGCAGCGCGCTGTGAAGTCTGAGGAGGAGGACGCTGCAAGCCGGCTTCTGCAGCGCAGAGCGGCCCATTGCCGCAACCGAGCCCAGAGGCCAATGTGCGTGGGTGCCGAGAGGACGCCTCCGCTGGCAGTCCTCCCCTTACATCGGCGGCGAGCGAGGGGGGGAAGTGAGAAGGAGAAGGCCTTCCCAGAAGGTTCGGACGTCCCCCGGCCTTCTGAGACATTTTCTAAGCCTTCCTCGAAAACAGAACTTCTCCGAAGGCGCGAGGGCTTCTGAGAAGCCCCGCCGCCTTCTGAGCCCACAGGGAGCTCCACCGAAGGTCCCAGTGGCACTGCCCGCATGCGTCAGCCACCACCCAGCACAGAGTTTCGTGGGCCCATAGGGGGCTCCACCGACGGCCCAACTGGCACCGCCCGCATGCGTCAGTCACCACCCAGTACAGCGTTTCGTGGGCCCATAGGGAGCTCCACCGAAGGCCCCAGTGGGACAGCCCGCATGCGTCAGCCACCACCCAGTATAGCGTTTCATGGTCACATGGGGAGCTCCACCGAAGGCCCCAGTGGCACCGCCCGCATGCGTCAGCCACCATCCAGTACAGCGTTTCGTGGGCCCATACGGAGCTTCCCCGATGGTCCCAGTGGCACCGCCCGCATGCGTCAGCCACCACCCAGCACTGCGTTCGTGGCCCCATAAAGGGGGCTCCACCGGATGCCCCAGTGGCACCGCCCGCATGCGTCAGCCACCACCCAGTGCAGCGTTTCATGGTCCGATAGGGAGCTCCACTGAAGGTCCCAGCGGAACCGCCCGCATGCGTCAGCCAGCACCCAGTGCAGCACTTCGTGGCCCCATGGGGGACTCCACCGATGGTCCCAGTGGGATCGCCCGCATGCGTCAGCCAGCACCCAGTACAGCGTTTCGTGGTCCCATGGGGAGCTCCACAGAAAGACCCCAGTGGCACCGCCCGCATGCGCCGTCCACCACCCAGTATTGCATTTTGCGGCCCCATCGATTGAGAGTTCCGCCAAGCCCCAGTGGCACCGCCCGCATGCGCCCCCCCCACCCGGTACAGCCTTTCGTGGGCCCGTAGGGAGCTCCAGTGGCCCGCCCGCATGCGACCCCCCACCCAGTACAGCGTTTCGTGGCCCCATAGGGAGCTCCACCGAAGGCCCCAGTGGCACCGCCCGCATGCGTCGGCCACCACCCAGTGCAGCGTTTCGTGGCCCCGTAGGGAGCTCTACAGAAAGAGCCCAGCGTCACCTCACGCATGCGTTTCCCCCAACCAATGCAGCATTTCGTGGCCTCATCGGGAGCTCCAGCGAGGGGCACCGCCCGCATGTGTCAGCCGCACCCAGCGTTTCGCGGCCCATAGGGAGCCCCACCGAAGGCCCCAATGGCACCGCCCGTATGCGTCGCCCCCACCCATTACGGCACGTCTCTCACGCGTTCCACCGAAAGCGGTACCCACAATGCGTTTTTCACAATTGCACATGGTTGGGTCCTTCGCCAGGATGATTTTCTTTCGGGCGGGCCCGAAAAAAACGAGACCCGTGGATTCAATGGTTCGTGTATAAATCCTTTCACTGAGGAACCTTTACTAAGGAATCACTTTGCACAGGATCATTACCACGGAATCCTTAGTGAGGGGTCTTTACTAAGGAATCCTAAATATGGAAGATTTACTAAGGTGTCCGTAATAAGGAACCTTCACTGAGGAGCCGTTAAGAAGGAGTCTTTGTCAAGGACTCCTTAGAGGAATCTTTACTGAGGCATCCTTAGTGGGGAACCTTGACTACGGGACCCTTATTGATGACTATGTACAAACGGCTTCTTAATACTTCATACTTAGCAATGAGTCCCTACCAAGGAATCTTTACACGCAAATTCGCAACATTGGATCTTCACTAAGGGACACTTAATCAGGGCTCTGTATCCAGGAAGCCCATTGTGTTATAGTTACAAAAGGGCCATGAACACGGATTATGTGCAAAGGAATATTTAACATTGAATATATACGAAGGCATTCTGAAGAACGAATCGTTTCGAAGGAACCCTGAATAAGGGGTCTTTACGAAGGATCTTCCTGTAAGGAATCTTTATTAAGGAACAATTTAATAAGGCACCTTTAGTCAAGGATCCTTACTGCGGAATCTTTTCAATGAATCCTTACTAAGGAACCTTTACGAATCCTTACTACGGATTCTTTACTAAATGACCCTGAATATGGGATATGTGCAGCGGAAGCCTGAGTATGGAGACTTCACGAAAGATCCTTACTACAAATCTTTAGGGAACAATCCTTTAATACGGGTTCTATACTCAGGAATCACCCGTAAGGAATATTTATGCACGAATCCCGAATGTGGAGTCTGTGCAAACAGGTTTTTGATGCCTATTCCTTATGAAAGAACCCTTAATGCGGAATCTGTACACATGAATCCTTACTAAGAAACCTTGTGTTCAATAATCCGCACTACGGAGTGTTTACGGCTGATTCCGTTAGAAGGATCTGTATTGAAGAGTCGCCAACAAGAAATTTTTACGAAGGAATCTTTCATGATAACTTTGTAAGAGGGAGTCATTACAGAGGAATATGTATTAAGGAATCCTTAACAAGGAGCCTTTTCCCAGGAATCCGCAATATGGAATCTGCATGAAATAATCCTTCACAAGGAATATGTACCAAGGAGCCCTTAGTGAGGAACCTTGACTAAGGACTCCTTACTAAGGAAGCATCCCAGAGGAATCCTTAATCAAGAACTTGTATTAAGGCGTCCACAGTAACGACGAGACTTTGCTACGGAAGCACGAGTAGGCAGTCTTTGCTCAGGAGTCCCTGGCGCTG